GGGCTTCACAGAGGCTCTAACCATTGATAAGGTCTAATGTGATGAGGGACTGTAAACTTCATCTTTTATACATGGCAACATAATGTGAAAGGTCAGCTTATCTTAATCCTCAAATCTGCAGCATCCAGGCCCGTGGCCCCATTTCATGAAGTTAAAGAAATAATCTTGGAGTCCATTCTGAAGACGGCCCTTATTATCTTCTCCGCAAGGTCCAATCAGAAGATATCATTAGAGTGTACTATGAATGCACTGTAAGGAATGATTATTTCTCTTTTCTAATCGGCCCCAATCATATCATAGAATCAGCTGGACTGTGTGCTCATGGTGAGAAGCTTTATTATGTCCAGTGATTAATCATCAAGCACTGCCTTATCCCTCTTAGACACACAGCACACTGCTGGCCTGGTTCAAAGAGGGAGAATAGGAAACATCACCTTCATCAGCACGGCGCTTACCTGATTTTCCATACTCTTTAGTTCACCCTCAGCATCGGCGTATACAGTAAAATGCTGCGGTGTATCATCATCTCAAGGATATAAACACGGTTTTAAGACCAGTTATTTACTCAGGCTCCATGTAGAGGCGTGGTGTGCTACTTTATAACCAGTGCTGGACACCACTGGTTATAAAGTAGCACACCATTATGCTTCGCCCCATTTCATTGTTTTCACGTGCACCTTTATCTTACTCTGGATTTTCGTTTGTTACCGTCTTGATCTGTTTCAATCTGTTCCCCTCCATAACTGCCGACAGAAATTTCTCACTTAAAAAAAGAAGTAACATAGTGTCCTTAACTTCCAGACAAATTGAGGACAGATTATATGCACAGTCGTGAAGTGGAAGAGCCACCATATTTTGTGAATTAACGCAGGTCAAAAAGGTTATTGTCTCAAGACCAAGTTTGGGCAATTTGTTGTTTAGGAATCCTTTGTTCTCAACTGAAAGTGTGTCAAATGTAGACAGATTGTGAAATATTTATTCCTTGACTGCAGATCATATTAGAGTGTTATTGTTTGTTTCGTTTTGTATTCCACCCCTAATTTGCCAGTGGTACAGTTTCTCAGGAAGTCTAACAAACACACATCAACTTTAACAAAGGTAGACCCCATCCTGTAGCCTTAATTAGAAGGAAATTGTAAACAGACGCATGCCTTTCTTTTACGGATTATCCATACTTTATGACTGAATGTTTGAAGTTATGAGGGATTCTGAATCAGCACTGCTCGAGTGGTGCTCTTATAGGACATTGTTGTCTTCAATTATTTTCAGTTATATTCCCGTCTGTAAGAGGCAGGGGATCATTTATTATTTAAAGATGCAATCGTTGCTGTTTATCTGGGATTTTTAAAAACCGGGTTATCTTTTTCGCGTAGTTTTTTTTTTTTTTTGATTAAAGGAACAAAGTGTAATAAAGTGCAGTTTCAAACAGATGCTTGTCTCTCTCGCGCGAGAGCTCATCTGCCATTATTGTGATTTAATATGAACGGTGCCAAGTAGCTGCCAAGAGACAAGATCTAACGAGCGTCAGGGATGCTTTAGTATGTACATAAAGGGTCTCGCGCAGACACAAGCTGCTGCAGATGCACACACAAATACACATTTAGTTGCAGACTAACAATCACACATGTCTTTATCCATATGTTGTTGCTAAGGATGGCTGACAGAGAGACTTGTGGCTAATTGTTTTTGCAGCTGGATTACTGATATTTTGGGGAAATATGTAGTGAGGATTTGAACATATTACGATTAATAATGTGCGTTAAACTTAATCTTGGGAGCAAACAAAAGAAAAGTAGACAAGCAACATGAATAAATAGTACATGTGGAATTCACACATACAGATGATTGGCATCCTCTCTGTTTAGAAGGCAGCAGGAGGGAACATTAGACTGCGGACCCTCATTCAGGGCTGCTTGAATATGGCAAAAATCACAATTATTTTGATCAATACAGAGATCATGATTACCTAACGTGATCATACATGTATTGAGCTTCAAAAAAAGTCCTTTTAACAGTGGCTTTTTTAAACTTTAGATATAATTCAACTAAAAAACAGACTTGAGGTGAACTTAATTTGCCTGCTGCTTCAGAGAGTGAGACAACTGCAGTACTGTGCTTCAACTGAACGAGGGCCTCATTCATTTGAAGCACAGTACTGCAGTTGTTCAATATATCTTGCTACAACATCCTTTATTTCATTACTCAATAAAATTGTCATGCACAGAACTTCATCCCCCAAGTGTGCCCTATGAATAAAACCTTTTTCCAGGTTCGAATGTTAGTCGTAGTTCCAGTCCTGCTACAACATGTCCCTATTGTTACACATATTGTTTTTTAAACCCCAAAGCCCCACAACTCTTGCTGTGTCCCTCTTACGCTCACTAGTATCCACTTGCCCCAGCATCACTCTTGTTACTTCCAATACTTAACTTTACACTGAAGCCTTTGCCCCTGAGACCCTAGAGTTGGGAGATTAGTCCAGCCTCAACTGAAGCAGACAAACTGCAATCAATACCTGATATAAGCAGTCCGCCAAGGTCAGGCGACCTTGCTGTATGGCACCCACGGCAACTCTAGTAAAGTCCTTATAAATTCTGGGTGACTGACCCCTGACGACCTGGGCAGATAAGGTCAGTCTGGCCACAGTGACCTAGAGCCAAGAGGCCAGTGTCCAGTCAGTCTGGCTGTCCTATAATGAAGTGGTCAGTATTGCCTTTCTGTCACTCAGCAATTACTGGGAGAGATATGGAGCCATAGATAGGTGCTGAATGCACAAGGAGGCAGTGGCCACAGAATTACATTCAAGAGGCAAAGGACCGGTAAAGTGACATGTAAACTACTCTAATATGGACTGGTAATGACTGGGAGCAAGATAGATCGGAAGGAGTCTGACAACTTCAGTGGGGCTGCGTTCCATCTGTGCATGCAGGCACAGGGGGACGCTACTGTAAAGCTTACATTTAATAGCTGCTTTTGAAAATCTGATGATTTGCTGCAAAAATGAACAGTTATGCAACATAAACACTATTCCATGTCTCCTTTACTTGAAGCAGCATTCTTTATATTGTGCTTGGACATCTTTCTAATGAGTTGATTATTCAATTTGCAGATTAACTGTAAAACAAAATGCAATGAACATCAGTCATTACTGAAGACCTGATAATGTATTTGGTCCACAGGGAGCCATTGATGGAAGGTGTCCCTAATGGTCTAACGACACAAGTGTAACTTGCAGAGTGAGGAGTGACCAGATTAAAAGACAAACAGACTGACGTGCAGGCAGAGGTCATGCTGCCTGCACAAATAGAAGCCTGCGTATGTCACAGTGTTTCTCCCATGGCCTGTTGTGCTCCCCGACACAGGTCAGGGGCTAGGAAATCCCCAAAGCCATCCAGCTGCTGCCATCAGAGACTCTCGGCATTCTTCTGTCTGCTAACTATTTAGTTGTCAGTGATTTGGTTAAGTGGAATTGACTTTTATCTGCGGTGTGCTGTGGGGCTGCCACTGGCAATTCAGAATCCCCCTTCCTCAGCTCCTGTCTTAGCCTGGTGTCACATCCAGCACATTGCTATTGGCAGCTGAGCCAGGCCTAATCAATAGCCCAGGTCAGGGATGGCCCGCGGCTCTGCTGTGGGTGGGCTATTGATCCAACACACACACTCCCACAGGTCGCCCTGACAAACCGGGAAGTCGTGGCCTCGGACGGAGTGAGAGGGAGACAAAGAGAGACGACAAATTAACAGCGCTGCGCTCAGTCTACTGTAACACTGTCATGGAAATAATTTATTTATTGATTAACAAGTAATGTACTGTATACTCTTTATTTAAGATCAAAATGATCATTATTTAAATTAATATTCCAAACAGGAGTGATACGATTCTGAAAAGTGGAACACACATTGAAATCAGGACCAAGAGAATCTGATAAAACTATTTAGATGCACAGCCATCATAACCATGCAAGACCTCTACATCTGTCTGTCTGTCTGTCTGTCTGCCTGTCTCTCTCTCTCTCTGTCTGTCTGTCTGCCTGTCTGTCTGTCTGTACACTTTTTTTTCATGTGTCTTTGCTTCTCTTTGCTGTGTGGATCCTCTGTTGTCACTCTTTCCGACCTGTGGCCAATGAGCAAGAGTCTCGCTATTTTTGTTGCAGTTTTAAATGTTGCTCCCCGAGCCCCTTATCAGCACCACAATAAGAACTCTTGGGAACAATTAAACATGGGCTTTAACTCAAGTCTAACCACAGAGGTAAAAATAATCGCACAATGTTTCCAAATGGAAGTGGCTTCAAAAGAGCTATTCAGTTATCAAAAAACTGTCTGCCTCTCCCGCCTGTATTCCCTAACTAAATCTCTGTCGCTGTGGAACTATTGGAACATATGACAAGCATATTTACCCAGCTTCACAAACCAGGCCCATGTGGAATTCAAAGTCTTTTTTTAACATGTTATTTATTTATTTATTTATTTTTTTTCATCGCTGGAATTGACAGTTGAATAAATATGTATTGTCTATGAGACTTTGTTGTCATATACGGGAGATCCTCTGCAGAACAGGCAATTATATATGCCATTACAGGAATATGTCTTGTTCTGGTTACAGGGAAATTAAGTTTCTCCGGAAATCTTTCTCATTTCTCATTTTAAAGAAGTCTTCAGTGGTATGAGAGGAGAAATTACTCACAGCAGTTCATTTGCTATTAAATGTAATCTTGAAATCATAAGAGGCTTTCCTGCAGTAGTCGCACACAAATAATTAGAGATTAATTTTGTTGGCTCTAAAAACAGCTGATTAATTTTGAAGTCTTGATGGTATCATACTGCTCTGGTTTGCCTCTCCTGAAAGACATTTATTATGTGCTCAGATTTCAGGGATGAGGTACAGAAAATGCAGACGCTCTGACAGGACTGCAGAGGAACTCTCTCTTTGCTGTCATGATTTCCAGCAGTGTTCAAATCATGTTTCTGACTCTATTTTTCTCTCTTTGTTTCTTTTTCCAGGTGATGGTGTCATCCTGACTTGTTTTTCTCGTGACCCGGGAGTCCCTAAACCCCGAACCGTATAGCTTTGGAAAACCCTGGAAATACCTGGAATTCTAGGAGTATATCACCAAAACTTCTTAAGGTGCCCAGGCACTGGATCAATAGCTTTACATTCTCCTTTATTATTTTTTTCTGTATACAAAGAAAGAGACGAAAGTCTGAACGTTAGCAATAGCCGCTGGCCATCCACCATTGCTCCGACGAACCTGCTGTGACCGAGAGGGCGTGACCTTTCTGCCTGCTGACTTCAAACAGACACTTGAAAAGAAAACGCAGTCGGAGAGGTTTCCGCGTGGTGGCAACTCAGACCAAAAACCCCATCAGGTAAGGCTGTGAAGTCCCCCTTGGTCCTGCTGTCCAAGCCCTAAGCCCTTTAACTTCTTCAGGGCTTTGAAGCTAACTTGTCCCCAGTCTGTATCCCCCACACAGTTAGCTTCCCGTCAGAGTTTGTGCAAAGGAAAGGATGGCGGATAAATGCCCCTCTTTTATGCTCTGCTCACCTGTTTGTTCCTCTCAGATTAGCGGCTCTGAATATGTTGAAGTTGTTTGGTTGGCAGACGCTCGCTCTGGGTTCTTCATTGGCCCCTTGTAGATTTGTCCAGTGACCAGCCAGAGCTAGAGCTAATGTGCTAGAGACGTCACACAGCTTGGCGTGCTTGACCAGGTGGATCACACATACATGAGCATATTCTCTGTGTGGATGTGCAAACACATGCTGTACATACACATACAGTAAACCTGCAGACCAACATATGTAAATTTTCACATTGATATGAAATACTAAGTTTAATGGTTTCATAAAACAACATGTCTACAGTATACACTCTACTGTACCATTTCTGTAACAGTTATCAGTAACATCGTCAGTGATGGGATGTGTGACTGTTCCAAGACGTGGGAGTTTTTTAGTTTACTAAGGAGACAAAAGTGATTTTCTAGCAGATAAAATGCCACCGCTGTTTGTGTGTGTGTTTACAGATGAGTGTATGTTATATTTTGGGTGTATGTGTGTGTGGTGTGAGTATAAGAATAGACAAACAGTATGTGTTTGAGTCTTGTATCCGAAAATGTGCAAAAACGGCACATTTCTGATGCATGTGTGCACTTTTGGGCTTCATAGCACATGGTTGTGAAATGAGTATTCCCATTCAGAGTGACTTTGAAATTGATTTCACTCAGTGTCACTCTTCTAGTTTTATTAGGGTCTGGTTTCCCAGTTGTTTTCTCGAAGACTGACAACACATTTTCAGTCGGTGATTAAGACTTGATCCCAGGTTATCTGGACTATATTAAATTATTCTGCTTGATAAGGGAATCTGTGTGATTTTATTTTTTCTCAGGCAATGACTTGGAATCAAATAGCGCCTGATATAAGGATATTGAGATTAAGCTTTGTGCCTGTGTGGCAAAGCACCCCCCCCTCAACACCACCACCACCACCATCACACAAAGGTAAAACAGCTAACTTTAGCTCCTCAGCTACAGAGGAATGCATTCTTTTTTGCCCTGAAAATAGGCCTAATTAAAAATAAAAAGTACTTATACAATTATATGAATATACTTTAATAAAGATGACAGTGAAAACAGCAGGACGTACCAATTCAGATGAGTTATGTCGTTAAGGATCTAAAGAGCTTTCTTTGTAAAGTTCAAAGTAATTTCAGCAAATTTAGGTCACTGAAATTTAGTACCCAGTAGCAAGTCATTGTTTTGAAAATGAGAATGAAAGAAGAGAAAATAAATAAACAGACACTTTTTCTCCTCTCTCCTGCATCTTTAAAGATTATTTTTAGTATGAGGAAAAATAAAACACTTGAAAGCATGAGAAACAATATTTATCGTTGCCGAGCTAATTAAGGACGTGATCTGAAACGTGTTTTCTGTAAAGTGTGATTTCGGACCCAAAGGGTCAGCTGCCTCACAATAGGACAAAGATAATACAGCAGAAGTCAAGGGTGGAGAGGGCTCCAGTCTGGAGTAAAGCAGCTCCCCTCCCTGGCCTGTGTGCTGATGGAGCTGCACTCCTTGCCCAGGGCTCCAGGGCTCTGACACTAGACCTTATTTTTCATGTGGGCTGCACACTGTTCTGCTGCAGTCGGGGTTGCTCCCTTTGTGCCAGCCCTCCCCCTTTTAGAGCCAAAGACATGCATGATTTCATACATGAAAGATATATGTAATTGGACAGCAGGGCCTATGCAATACATTTACAATTCTAAACAGAATATGTTAAAACTGGCTTCCTCTGTCTCGCCCCCTTTTCTTCCTGAGGAAATGTATTTTCACATATTCAAAAACCAAAAAAAAAAGACAAAACACAGGTTATCATTCTTGTTATGAGCTTTATATCTCATGTGAATGCTCAAAATGCACAAACAACTACCAATATATCTTACAATCCCACTACATCGGTGTGTGGCTCAGGCAGTTGTGTTGTAGCTTGCAGAGAAATACAGCAGATTCTGGCATGTACTGTAGTTTACACTTAGCTGGGGTCAGGAGGAAATCAAGTTGACTGTATTACTCATCTCTGCATATCATGGTTTAGTTTACAATTAAAAGTATAACCACTATCTTGACATGTATCTCCTCAGACTCAAGATGTCTTGTTAAATCAGTGCAGCTTAAATTGATATAAAAATAGCTGAATCACATGCAACATAGAATAAGTTTTAATCTATATATACATATACAAACCACAGAATGCTATACATCCATGAAAATACATAACAAAATCAGCAGAGTAAACACTGTAGCTCTACAGATGTATCCATGGTGTGGATAATGCTGCTTGTATGTTTGGTTTGCATTCTCAAATGAAACCACAGTCTTCAGACACTACAAACAAAGGAAAAATCTAGAATTGTATTACATTTAAATTAAACATTTCATAGCGGGAAAACAATCTGCGTTCCCTTGCTTTCAGACCGAGGAAGTTATTTTTGTAAATCACATTGGGCAGAAATCTGTTGTGTGTTAGTGGCTGGATTTGAGGAAGCCTCAGTCAACAAAGATCTGCTTCTGTTGTCTGAAAACTGGACACAGTGAGAGGTTTGAAAAGGGTTTGTTATGGCAAAATAGACTTTAAAAAAACAGCTGATTTTATAGTGTAATCACTGAAAATTTCAATTGTAATTCAAGTTCAAGGTGAGGGTAAGACCAGCTTGATGATTTCAGATTAACTCACCAGCTGCCATGATGTGAATTAATGTGTATCCAATGCGCACATTTTATCCTCTGAAGGGAAACATCACATCTCTGTCTGTCATTTGACCACAGGGAGGGTATGACCTTTTGGGGTCCAAAGACAGTTTTTCATGTTGATATCTTTTGCCTTTATATGCAGCAAAACAGCTTGTTTAAGTGGATTAGCTTCATGTAATACTTTACATGGTTGTAGACCTGCACAACACCCCAAATTATTCAGTAAACACACATCTGACGTAAGTAGAAGTGGCTTTAAATTGTTGCCAGTTTCCTCCAACATGTCAGTCACACATGTGTGAATGCCTGCATGTAGGCTAGCACAGATAAGCAAGGACCACAGCTCCTTGCTGCCATGACTCACTGTGATACCTGTCTCTCACACACAATAGACAGACTACCGATTGAGCTGCACAAAAAGTACAGTTTGTGCTTGAATTATGTGAAGAGTAGTATTTTTGCCACATGGAACGAGGTCAGCCGGCTCTTTCGCACATGCTGAAATTCACAACACAAAAGTGATCTTGGCAGGAAAGCGGGGCCATGTTGGCTGGGAGCGCAGGTAGCAAGGATAGGTGTTGTTCTTGAGTGTCTTAGCTGTGCCTCGTGTGCAAGGCCTCTGACTGCCAGTGTGAGAGCACTCCATCCGAGTAAAGAAGCTCAGCTGATGTGATTCTTTGCGGTACTGTATATGTGCATGCATACATACAGCAGTATGTGTCATAGGTGAGGAGAGCACTGGTAGATGGGCTGATGCAGGGCTCCTGGTTTAAGGTCGTATACTGTAGCCCACCCCTCCTGTGCCTGTCATGCAAAAGTAAACACCTTCACTATTAACTCCCTTAACGAGCTAACACCTAAAAAGGGAACAGCTCCACTAATCGCTTGGTTTTATTGGCTCCAGGAACACTTAAGGCCATACAGGGGGGCCTCACCTCACCTCCACTGAGGTATTTAGAGCACAGGGGCCAAACCAATTGATGGACAGGCAATGTTCCGTGACCCCTACCCTCCCAACTCACCACCCACAGCAAATATGGGTGGGATCACCTGCCACAGAGGCAAAGTTTAGGAGAGCCGCTAGGGGTTAAACATCCATAATTCTGCCTCAGTTGCTTTGACTGTCTAAAATTACTTCCACACATCCCTGGGTGGCTTTTGGTCCAGGGGGGCTCCTTCACAGCTCTGGAGGGCTTGATCATATGTGGCATGGGATGAGCTCTTTGGGTCTGTTTCTTAACTAGATGCTGCACATACACACATACATATATATATGCTGTCACTGCATCAGCAGGGGCGTTGTGTGGAGTAGTGTGATGTGAGTTGTTGATTTCCACGCATGTAAAATTCTGCATGATCCCACCCATGTCTGCATTCACTTGTCTCACTTGTTTGAATTGCAGCCCACTGAGTGGTGCGGTTGTTAGTGTGTGAGTGTGTGTAGTGACTGCTGGCTCCATGTCACTGTCAAACACTGAATAGCCCCTGATGTTTGTGAAAAAGAAAATGTGTCATTTTATTCATTGTGTTGAGGCTTCTCTTGTCCATTATCGTCACTTTAAAGATTATTCATCATTGCTCGTTAATCGGCATCATTGTTGTCCTCAAATTAACGTCATTGATTTGAATTGTAAAACTCATTTTGTCTGATTCGTTCTCCAATAACCAGCTGTTGGGTGCGTCATTTGGCGCATTTACAGCTTTATAGACGTTATTTAAAACTGTGTAGGAAATATTTAGCATCCCTCTCTGGATGCTTTTTTCTGGATTATTTTTCAGAAAATTATAAGAGGACAAACTTGGAATTATCGCTGTGTTGTTTGACCCGGGCTAATGCTGTAGAAAGATGATGTTGAGGCATCCAGAGGCTGTGTGTGTGACGCAGGATTTGGATTTGACCCCTGGCGATAATCCTAGATCTGTATTTGCCTTCTGTGTCGCTTCCACCTGTCATCTTTCATCTCGTCGTGTTGTTCGGAGGGCTCTCCTCCACATCAAGGAAAATTACACTCTTTAACTTTGTTATATGCAAGTGCGAGATGCAGAAAGCGCGGAGTGGTGTTTGAGTGGGTTCGGCGTTGTGGGGATCCGTGATTCTTCTCCTCTCTCTCCCCCTTC